TTTCCATTTCCTAACAAATGGGGCAATGTCATTCTTTCTGATGGAGGCATAGAATTCCATTGTGTATATATACCATTTTCTTGATCCATTCATCTACTGAGGGGCATCTGGACTGGTTCCATATCTTAGCTATGGTAAATAATGCTGCAATAAACATAGTGAGATATTTTTTCTTAAGTCTTAGTTCCCTGTGGGAAAATCCACAGCACCTATACTACACCTACCACACAGCAAGCACTCAAACATTGCTGTCTGAAGAAGTCACTGACCCCACAACTAAAGAGGTTCATGCCAGGTGCTGGTGGCTCACAACTGTAATCCTAACTGCTCAGGAGGGTGAGATCTGAGGATCTAAGCTCAAAGCTAGCCTGGGGCAGTAAAAGATTCTTACCTCCAACTAACCACCTTTTTAAAAAAGCCAGTAGAGCTGTGACTCAAGTGGTAGAGCACCAGCCTTAAGTGAAAAAGCTAAAGGACAGCACCCAGGCCTCCGAGTTCAAACCCCAGTATAGGCATTTTAAAAAAGGAGGAAAAAAAAGACATTTATACTGGACATTATATCAAGTGTGATACTTACTCAAAAACTTCTAAAGGCACAGTAATATCATGAAGCTGCTGTCGGCACTTATCAATATCCTGTAAGCCAGTAACAATAAAATTCCTGGAGGAATGACAGGAGGGGGCATTCAGTTAAGTCAGATGGCACACGCCTGACCACAGATCTCCTCTTTAACCCGGCTACACACAGGTCCTCCAGCTTAGGCACCAGATTCCAAGGATACCTTTCACTTATGAAATACTCTCAGATATCTGTGGGATTTCCTTCTAGAGGAGGAATCACCAATATGGAAGGAGAGAACAGGAGGGGAAATACTAGCCTTCTCTCCCAACAGCGACCCCAGTCATGGCCTTTCCGTAGAGAGCAGGGGAGGCAGGGCTCCAGCTGGCCGGTCCGCCTGGCTGACCTCCACTTAGGACCCACCTGGACCCCCAGCTGGCCCAGTCTCTTGACTGTTACCCCGGCGCCGGCGCGTGTGACCCACGGCAACCACCTGCACATCCATAAACCTCCCCTCCTCCGGGGATGTCGGCCATTCCAAGGCCTCAGTAAACAGAACCTAACAAACTCCGCAGCCTCTACCTCGCCCCTGCCAGGTCCCAGCAGCAGGTGGCTCGGAAGCCTGCCCCGGCCGGCCGACGGGCCGGCCTCCCCCGGGGTCGGGAGTGAGATCCTGGGGGTTCCCTCCAGGAGGGAGGCGCCCGCCGGCGGGGACTCCCCGGACAGAACCCCGAAACAGGAACGATCTTCCCGCCGCGTCGAGAAAGGTTCCAGCGAGGCCGGGAGGGACCCCGTGGTCTGGATAGGAGCACGACCAAGAACCCCCCCCTCCTCCCCGGTCCCCCACTCCCCTCCTCCTCCGGCCACCAGCCCGGGCCTCACCCCGGCTCCCCCCCAAACCTAACCCCTCTCAGCTTCACCCAAGCGGCCCCGACCTGTCCC